TAAAATGTGATTGTGTGGGTACATTGTCTATTCACCCACTAGAGTCCTGTGAGATAATAATAATAATAATAATAATAATAATAATAATAATAATAATAATAACAACAACAACAACAACAACAACAACAACAACAACATACCCATATGCATCCTCACTGTTCAACCACCTACTCAAAGGTTCTCATCCACCTTTCTTTTAAATGGCAAAGAATGGTAAAGCTACCCCACTGCACTCACCCAGGTGAAACTTTGATTTTGTGAATCTTTGTGTAATGTTATTATAATTCCCTAGAGCTTGTGTGCTCCCCTTCTCCTATGCAAGAGCACACATCTAGATAGGTTTATTTTTTAATGAGAGAGCAGGTTCTGTGCCCACCATCACCTATAATATGCAAAGGGGTGTTAATGATGAAAATCAGTTTGGAGGAATATCATGCAAAGGTTGAAATACAACCTGAGCACACTCTGAATTATAGCTTAAAGTCTCAGTTAAAAGGCTTCAGCTTTGTACCCTTATACTACTATTCTCTGCAATATACAGTGCTGCAGCTCAGTCCCAAGAACAGGGGCTCGGGGAACTGGAGAGACCCAATAAGGAGGCCTCAGAACAAGTTAAACCATCAGAAGTTATGGGGCAATGAGATGGATATGAACATATCGGTGGGATAAGAGCAGATAAAGAAACATAAGCCCTAATTGGATAAATGGATGGCATTGGGAATGTTGTAGAGAATCTGCCCACTCCTTAAAGCAAAGTACATCTCCTTGAGGAACAAAGCCTTACAGAGTACATTTTGGCTTCCAGTGGGGAGAAAATCCACTCAGTGTGGGCAGTCAAGCCTGGACCAATCTCTCCTTTTGGATTTAAACAGAGAAACACTGCATGCTGGTGATTTTCTTCTTGAACTTTCATCAGAGCATCCACCTGGATCTCGTAAACTACTTCTGTAGCCCCTCCATTGTACAGTTCATAGACCTGCAAGAAAAAAAAACAAGTTTATTGCAAGAAAGCTAGTCTGCACTACCTGCCAGGATGCTCACATGGAGCATCCAGTTTTCCATTCAGCACAACTCTATCAGGTGTAAATCTTCTTAAAAGCTATGGATGGAGGGAATGTTTTGAGGAAATTCCCCAGCAGAATTACCAAGTTGATTCCTTTACTCACTCTCTACCATGCACAAATACAATTCCCTGGAGAAAAGGCAGACTCTCCTGTAATGAATTTCAAATAGGCTGAATACTCAAGACAAACTATACAGTGTGTGATAATCACAAATTGCCACACTTTCCACAAAAATTGACAGCTGCATACTGTTTAAGCTTATAGACAGAATGGATGTTACCTCAGCAAGATAGGGATTCCCAAATAAATGTTTGCCAAGTTACTGCAAATCTAGGGGTGGAATCATTTATATGGAAAAGTGAGTGGAAGAGAGGAAGGGTGCTTTATCCTCCCTGTCCCTACTGATTGTCCCATGCAAATGCCCTCCCCACAACTGCTTGCTTGAATTGGGCATATTTTCAGTATTTCTAGCCTCCCAGATAGATGGGAGGAAAAAAGGAGTTTAAAATGTCCCATGCTGGGGAGGGAGACAATCAGCAAATGGGGAAAGGTTAAGCACACCCCTGATATCTGACACCTCTCCCCTGCAAAAGCCCCGCCTGCTCTGATCTTTCAAGGCAAGCATGCCTCGTACCCCGTGGCCCCTCACTCACAGGCTGATGTTTCTCCTGTCATCCATTGTCCTGGGTTGCCTCCTAAGTATCCAAACCTGGCCCTTTTCTTTACACTGCTTTTTAACATTCTATTGTGGGGGATGAGTCGGGGGGGGGGCTAGAAAAAGGCAAGACTATTACCTTGGATATCTCACCTGTTTAGGAGGGTCAAAGGTGCCAATAGCAATGGGTGTAAACACGTGTTTGGTTGAAGTGAAGTGAATGTAGTGCCGCTCCAGATCCAAAGTCACACCAATAAAATTTAGCTGCAGAATTATTATTTTTTAAAAAAGGGAGAGAAAAGGACAGGCTGTTAAGACTGTATCATCATAAGCAGTCAAGGCATCTCAGGCTTGCCTCGGAGAGGAGATACAGAAAGAAAGGCAGTGATGCAAAACAAGGTGCCTTCAGGGGTGGGGAACATGACCTCCTGGGAAGAGTTCTGCAGCACTCCCAGAGGATCTCCTCATTAATTCCCACACTGATTTGCCCTCTGGTTCAGAGCGTTTCTGGCTACCTCCCTGGACAGGAGGCCTGCGCTCCAAAATCTGCTTCCCGACTAGGCAGCCACCAAGATGTGTGCCAAGTGGGCTGAGCCAAGTGAGCCCATCCACAGGCTTTGCACAAAGGCACAGTTAAGCCAGTGTTTTCACAGCTTGCTCAACAAGCTGAATTTTCAGCTGACAATAGTCCCCGAAGAGAAGAGAAGAAAAGACGGATGGGAACACACTGTTCTCACTGGTAACCTTGGGAGAATGATGGGCACCTAGTGGAGGCTCAATGGAGCATAAGAGGAGTGCCAATTAGATCCCAGGGTAACTGATTCAACCTGACATGCTGAGGGGAGAGGGAGGAAAGGCGAGCCGAGATCACTAATCAAGCCCAGCCTGATAATGGAAACACTAGAGATAAAAAGGGGAACTGATATCAAATAATCAAGGATTTTTGCTCCCATTTTTGCCCAGAAGAGACAGCCAGTGAGCTAATCTGTTCCCCTAAAATACCACAGCATCTCTATTGGGAGAAGACAGAGTTTTTAAGAAGAGTTGAAATAAGAGGACAGTTCCTGGAAGACAAAATTACTGCACAACTGGGGCCACACTGTAACAAGCAGACCATAAGGAAGCTTCTGGATTAGGGACTCTAGGTCCTGAATACATTATGAAGGGCAGGAATTTTTTAAAAAAATCTGTGCCTCCACCTGAGTGAAAGCATTTCCAGGAAAATAATGACCCATTGCCATATAGGCAATGGAAACAGGATCATACCAGAATTTCTCGACCATGGGAGATCTTCAACAACACTGGGAGCTGGTCGGTACCAATGAAATTATGTCTGGCAGGGCAAGAACAAGCACAAGTATCAGAATTGCACACAGAGAAAACCATTCCAAAGTTTGAGCTAGAAAATCATGTCTCAAACAGTAAATTAGGGGAACAAGATTCGAGTCCAGTGGCACCTTTAAGACCAACAAAGTTTTATTCAAGGTATAAGATTTTGTGTGCATGCATACAAAGAAGTATGCATGCACATGAAAGCTCATACCTTAAATAAAACTTTGTTGGTCTTAAAGGTATCATTGGACTCAAATTTTGTTCTGCTGCTTCAGATCAATACGGCTACCCCCTGAATCTAGTAAATCTAGTAAATTAGGGACAACTCATTTCCCTGATAAAGAGGTGCACAGCTATATAAAGATCTTTCCAGGCAGAAGGGCAAACACCTCTCTGGATGGGGACAAAGAGTAGAGAGAACACCTAGAATTGGTCTCTGAGCCCTATGCATTAGCTCAGGACATCCAAAAATCAGGCTTTAGGGAAAGCAGAATCAGTGTAATTTTTCTTCTTCTATGCTAGTAGAAAAGAGCAAGAGTCCATTAGCAATTTAAAGATTAACAAAATTTGCGGCAGTATATGAACTTTTGTGAGTCATTGCGCAAAGAGCAAGAGTCCAGTAGCAATTTAAAGATTAACAACATTTGCGGCAGGATATGAACTTTTGTGAGTCATTGCTCACTTGAGTCACAAAAGTTCCTCCCCTGTACAAATTTTGTTAGTCTTTAAAGTGCTACTGGACTCCTGCTCTTTTCTACTGCTACAGACAGACTAACACAGCTATCCATCGTGATCTATCTTTTGTTTTGCAGAGCCCTCGACATGTCTCAGTGTGTTTGCATGGAAGCAACTGGTTCTGCATTAATACGACACTGCCCCTCCATATCAGATATCATGTGCATGGGAGCTGTGTTAATGAACCCTGATCAATACAGGAGCTGACCTTGTCATATGGGTTTGAGATCAGCTCCCATTTGAGGAAGAAAGGAACCAAGGTTTGTGGATACCTAAGGGATAGATGTACAGTTTGCTCTTGCCCTGGAAGAAGATTTCCTGCCTTGGGACAAATGCTAAAAAGTCGGTTATCCTGGATCCGCATCTGGTGTAGCTCACTGGGATCAAACTCAGCACTTTCTGCCCAGTATTCCATGTCTATCTTCTGGTCAGAAGGAAACAGAAAGGCCCTAGGAAGCATCCATCAGCCAAGATAAGAGAGAAACAAACAAGACTCATCATTAAAAGGCAAAGATTACGAAGATCTGATATCAAGGAAAGTAGCAAGCAAATGCTATGCTGCTTGACTGATGCTCACACAAAGCTTTGCCAATCTGACCATACATGAGTGTAACTTGGCTTTTTAAAGACAAATTTCTTTATATAAGCCATCCAAATTCTGATGCCAAAAGATGGGTTCTGTACCTATATAAACAATATGCATATTCAATGTATAAGACTTTGACTGCTGGGATAAGTTTAAACAAATAATGATTTATTTATCAAAGAACAAAATAGGTTTCTGGGTATTTTTGAACTGTTGTTGAAGAAAGGAACTTATAAATATAACTGATAAAGCTGGGCGTCACACACTGTCTCTCAAAACACCAAAACTCAACTCTGACAGCCTTAGCCACACAGGCTAAACCATTTGTCTTAGCCACACAGGATAGACTCAGACTGCTTCTTCTGCCATACAGGCTAAACTCTAAAACTCTCCCCACTCCTCTCTCCAAAAACACAGAATCACCTCAGATACACCCCTCCTCCCACACTCTCAGTCATCAGCCAATCACATCACACTCATCTCCCTCTATCACTCTCCTTACATTACTTCAGTCAAACTAAACATTTAAAGAAACAGACACACCAAAACATGAAATCATTACAGTTGGTAATCTTTTTTTTCTGACACCTCCTGACTTCTAAGACTTAAGTAGACATTGCTTACATCTCAAAGCTTATCTATTGTCCACCTTTTATTTAGAAGAATGGGACGGGAATAATTTTAATAAATAAATCTTCAAAGTCATGTGGGTTAGAAACTCCCCCCCCCCCCACACACACACCTTTAAATGAAAACAAAGATTCTCAGGGAGTTAAATTGTTTCCTCAACTGTACATTGTGTGCTTTTCTGTGCCTTTCGAATAATTGTACCAAAGAATTTGAGAACTTTTTGACTTCGATTTGAGCTGAAAGCAACTTTGCATAAGGAAAGAATGTGTTGGTGAAAGTTTTCCTTTTGGAGCAGAAAACTTGGGGTTCCATCTTTGTGAAGAAGACTTGGGCGAAACACGGCTTGGTATAAGCTAGCTCACACATAAAGAAGAATATTGGAGAAACCTACATATAGTTCATCCACCAGACTCCTGTGAATTTTTAATCCCTCCTTTGGGACTATTTAAAGACTGTGTTCTATGTTATTAGTTTTGGTGTATGAGTTGGTAAGAAATCGGCCGTGGTCCTGGATTTCTTAAAACATCTTTTGGATGTACAACATGACTTTCTATATCTAATTTCACCACGGTATTTGAATTACATTGGACTCTGTCCTCTATGTTGTATTTTGATAGATTTGATAAATTTGTCTAAGATTTGAGTTGTTTTTTTTATTTGAGCACAGTTTATTGTTCTTTGGTATATTTCCCCTGTGCTGCTCTTTGTTTTTTTTGATTTCTAATAATTGTGGCATATGTTTATCTCTGACGCGCACCCACAGCATAGCCATTACAACAGGCCTTGTCTCTATATACACACACGCATACAGCTCAGCTGAGCCTCAACACTGCAGCCTCCCTCTCTACCTCCAGTGAGCCATGAGGGAGCATTCTGGTATTTTGTCACAGGTTCTAGTGAGAACCAGATGCCTGAGGGATTCTAAAACATCACAAGCATATTCCATTCACTGACTTCCCTCATTTAATTGAGCCATAAAGAAGGTCAAGACCCTGTTCAATTCTAAACAATATGAGTTGTTCATGGAGCTCTTAGAGAATGATTACTCACCAGTTCACAGGCATCACCCCACTATTTTGCAGCATCAGCACCATTGTAGAGGGCTCACTTCCGACAGGAGCAGCACCAAAGTTGAAATCCAGCATGACAGGGGTGTAAACAGGGGGCATTCGTTGTGTGCTACGGTTTAAAAAATTAATTGATGTGAGAAAAGGTCTTGAAGGTGGACTGCAAATCCCCAGATATGCCATTATATTTTGACTTCTGTGTGCAGGAGAAATGAAACTGGCTTTCAGATTCTGAAGAAATTAGGAGTATTCCTGCAGCTGAATAGAGAAGGCAAGAAGGAGTGAAAATAAATAGAACAACAACAAACTTTACCTGTGTCTGGTAGGCACTCTGAAGGTGAGCTCTTGTGGAGTTGGATCTCGCTCCAGGTACTTATTCAGAGTCTCCAGGGAAAAAAGCCGCCAAAGGTGCAGCTTGCTGATGCCACGGGCACTGCCTGTCCCACAGGCATCAGTGATGCAGATGGATGGATAGATGCCTGTGGCTGTCACACTACAGACTGGCTGCTTTCCCACAAGAGGTTCCATGGCTTGTTGTTGGAGGTGGTGGGGAAGAAGAGACAGAAAACTTAGTGCAGTTGAGATATCAAGGAACGCAGTACTGTTATAAACAATTTTATAAATAAAAAAATGCATCCCCTGCCCCCTTCCCTTATTGGCATTGTACAAACCACATTTTCCCTTTCCCACTGCAGAGCCAGTTTGGTGTAGTGGTTAGGAACATGGACTCTAACCTGGGTGAACCGGGTTTGATTCCCCACTCCTCCACATGCAGCTGCTGGTGTGACTTTGGGTCACTCACAAATTCTTTCAGAGCTGTTCTCTCAAGGGCAGTTCTTGAGAGAGCTCTCTCAGACCCACCTACCTCACAGGGTGTCTATTGTGGGGAGGGGAAGGGAAAGGGATTGTAGGCTGCTCTGAGACTCCTTCAGGTAGTGAAGAGCGGGGTATAAATCTAATCTCTTCTTCTTCTCCAATGCTCCAATAGCAATACGCTGTTCCTGGGAACATGCAATTCTTCTCCCAGATTCATTGCTATTGGGATTGTTGATTAATATAGTTCTGCAGATTTCACAGGCTTTCATTGACTATTGCTTGTGACATGAATAATGACAAGAGATAAAAAGGTCTATGGAAGGAAGCATGAATGAATGAATAAATAAATAAATAAATCATGGCTGTTGTTGTTGTTGTTCAGTCGCACAGTCGAGTCCGACTCTTCGCGACCCCATCTCTTCGCTGTTGCCTTAGATGAAAAAAAGGTTATGGACAGGCTCTAATCTAGGAGCTTTGGGCAAAAGACAGCAGGAAGGCAACTTTGCCCTGAAACTTGATATAGAGAATCTATCTGAAACCACTAGATAGCTGAAGTTTCAGATAGAAATAAACATCCTAAATAAATAAATAAATGTAGTTTTCTTCTCACATCTCCTCCCTCCCCAGATCTGGTTCCCACATGAACTTCTGTGCTTGATGTAGGTGACAGCAAATTGCAGTTGTGCTCTCCTGCACAGTCCTTCGCAATCTCTCCACTGCCAGGCACAAATGAAAGGAACAGGAGAAGAGAACCATATAAACGCCCTTCTAAAAACTGATTAGATGTGTGCTGCAGCATAGTTGAGGTAAAGTCTCTAAAGTCTGTAGGAGCAAGGGAAAACCCCATTGCTCCTTTGAAAAATATGACAAAGAATGTAAATGTGTAACAGATCTATCTCTCCCTTATAATAATTGAGTAAGACGCAGAGGCACGCAAATGCGCACCTACAGTGTGTGGATGAATGCCCTGTCCGTCAGCACCTTCCCCGGCGTCCATTGGACGTCGCGCCTAAATCCCACCTTGGAGCACTCCCCCCCCCACTAGCCAAGGCGGCCGGGAAGGGGCTTGCCGCGTCCACCTTCCCTGTGCCGCCGAGCCCTGCGCCACGGTAACTGTGGCCACTTCTCCGGGGGGGAACGGGCCCCGCTCCGCCGCCCTCGCTTCGCTGTCTGACTCGGCCGCCGCTCTGCGCGGCCGGGGGCTGGGTGGGTGGGCGGCCGGGGAGGAGCTAGGGCCTCAGG